GAGCCCAGCAGGTCGAGGCTGCGGTGGCTGGGAGCGGCCACCGCTCTCCAGTCTGGGCGATGGAGTGAGATTCCAACTCAAAAAAAAAAAAAAGTTTCTTCACTTGACTTCTGAGAATCCATACTCCCATGGCTTTATTCACATTCTTCTTGTCTTTTTTTTTCCCCCCAAGTTGGAGTCTCACTCTGTTGCCCAGGCTGGAGTGCAGTGGCATAGTCATGGCCATCGCAGCCACGACCTACTGGACTCTGGTGATCCTTCTGCCTCAGCCTTCCAAGTAGCTGGAAATACAGGTGTGCGCTACCATGCCCGGCTTATTTTTTTGATTTGTTGTAGAGCAGAGGTCTCACCAAGTTGCCCAGAATGGTCTTGAACCCCTGAGCTCAGGCAACTCTCTTGCCTTGGCCTCCCAGAGTGCTGGGATTACAGACTTGAGCCACCGCGCCCAGCTACCCATGTACCTTCTATTTGTTTGTTTTTGGAGTTTTTTTGAGACAGGTTTTTCATTATCGCCCAGGCTGGAGTGCAGTGGCATGCTGGTAGCTTACTGCAGCCTCAAACTCATTGACTCTGGTGTGCGCCAACATACTCAACTACTTTTTAAAACATTTTCGTAGAGAATGTTTTTCTCAGCTTGGTCTTAGACTCATGGCTTCAGCTGATCATCTTGTCTCAGCCTCCCAAAGTGGTAGGATTACAGATGTGAGCCACTGTACCTAGCTGAGCCACATACCTTATATTTGTAACATGAGGTAGAGAATCTGGGCAGTAAAAGAAAGACTAGTATTTCTAGCCTGATGACTCAAGGGAGCAAATCACTTTTCCAGACAGTTGAGATTGACTAAATCCTTTTTGGCAAAAAGGCTCACTTGATAAGTGTTACTCTTTCATCCTCCTGCTGCTTGTGTTTTGGAGGTGGTGCTGATCAAAGGCGGATGGTACAGAGGTAGCAGTAGCAGTGCACTCATAGTTCTTTGATTGTCTAATTGTCTCTCAGGTAATGAAAGTTACTGTCTACCTCTGCAGGTTAATTCTGAAGGTAAATAAATACCCAATGAAAAACTTGCAGAATTGATTTGTGAACTTTAGTGGTGACCTGTTTATTTAGTGCATTATTCAACTTTCTCTCCCAACTATTTTCATAATATGAGTTAACATTTATGTAGTGCTATCTATGTGTCAGGTATGTAATCTTTGTGTCAACCCTGAGGTTAGTACTGTTATATTTCCATTTTATAAACAAGAAAAATTAAGGTTAACTGACTTGTCCAGAGTTATATAGCTTAGGAGAGGTAGAGTTGGGGATTGAACCCAGTCTGGCTCCAGAGTCCATGCTATTAACCAGTCAGCTATGCTACAAAAGAATGCTAGCAGGATATGGCAAAATGGGATTTTTAGTGTTTCTGATGAGAGATGAAGAGCATGTCCCACTGCCTCTTTGGTCTTGCCACAACAAGGTGGCATATGTTAGTCTTCATTGTAGGACATACTTTGAAATAAAGCATGACAGTAGGAATCTCTGCTCCTAGCTTCCTCCTCCTTGCTTCGTAGTCCTTTCTGTGATGGTCACAGAGCAGTTTTGCATGTGACTGTCCAGTGCTTGGCTTTCTGGAGAAGATGAGATTGGCCTAGTGGTGAAGGGAATGTGTTTTCATTTTCAGCCTGTTTAATCCAGTACTGTGAAGCATGCTTTTGTTTTTTGTTTTCAGTGTGATATAGTTTGAACATTATTTTCATTAACATTTCTTAAATCAGACTCCATTAACTAAAGAAATAAGGTGGTATAATAAAACTTTATTTTGAATTTTGGATATTCCACTCTGATGCAGGGACAATTGCTTTTATACAGTTTATGATATAAAAAACAGCATAATTTTGACTTCTGTCCATTTATCTCTAGGAACCCTGAGGATTCTGCAATATGAATAATTCTCTGGAGAACACCATCTCCTTTGAAGAGTATATCCGAGTGAAGGCGCGGTCTGTCCCGCAACACAGGATGAAGGAATTTCTGGACTCACTGGCCTCTAAGGGGCCAGAAGCCCTTCAGGAGTTCCAGCAGACAGCCACTACTACCATGGTGTACCAACAGGGTGGGAACTGCATTTACACAGACAGCACTGAAGTGGCTGGGTCTTTGCTTGAACTTGCCTGTCCAGTCACCACCAGTGTTCAGCCACAAACCCAGCAAGAACAGCAGATCCAAGTTCAGCAGCCACAGCAAGTTCAGGTAAAAGGGAAATGTTGAGGTGCAGCCTGTTTAATACTCAATCAATACTTAATACTTTATTTGCTGTCAGGGTTTTGGTTAGTAGGAGCATCACATCTGTACAGCTATAAGAGGTTATTTTCACTAAGGGGAATCTGAAACTTTTTATTATTTAACAGTAAAGTTTTCATAGTTAATGTGAACTAAAAATATTTTCAACCACTGTAAACTAAAAAGACCACAGATGCTTGCTGTTTGCTTTAGAGTTGAGTAGTATAGAAATTATAGGTCTTCTGGGACTAGATTTAGCTGTGACAGCTTCACATGACAAAGACTGTCCTTCTGTCTGTGTCATCTTGCATCTTGAGTAAAGACAGAACATAAGAGGCTAGTTTTGGCTCATTGCTGATAGCGTAACATTTGAAACTTGTGTTAAAATGGAAAGGCTGATATATTTTAGTGATCTTCATTTAGTTGATGATTGCATAACTTAGATCACCTGTAGATTTCTAGGTCTTTGCTGTTTATAAGCCACAAGAAAAAATGCTAATTGAGAATCAGCTTACTGAATGAGAAGAAACTAGTGCATTTGCTGAGAAAGTAAAAGTTTTCCTCTTTAGGGGTCTTTTTTTTTTGAGTCAGAGTCTCACTCTGTCACCCAGGCTGAAGTTCAGTGGCGCACTCATGGCCACCGCAGCCTTGACCTGCTTGACCTACAGGCATATCCACCACACCCAGCTAATTTTTCTTGATTTATTATAGAGATGAGGTCTCGCCAAGTTGCCCGGGCTCGTCTCAAACCCACAGGCTCAGGCAATCCATTCGCCTTGGCCTCCTACTAAAGTGCTGGGATTACAGACTGAGGCACCGGGCCTGGCTGGACTTCATTTTTCATAACATTAAAGACTTTGGGATTTGAGTTTGAAATGTGCTTTGAGACTTTATGTTCAGGATAACTGATCGAGATCACCTGTTAATGTCATCTTCCTCCCTTAACCACATGTAAATGAAAGAAGAAATGTAAGTATAAATCCATGAGCTAGATTTAATATGGTGGACTCAAGAACACATATTCTACCCATTCTTAGTAGCTGAAAAAATAACTTTTAAAAAACAGTTTCTAACAGTGCTGGAACAAACAAATACTATTTTTTATTATTTATTTTTTTAATTTATTTTTTATTTATTTATTTTTTTGAGTTGGAGTCTCACTCTGTCGCCCAGACTGGAGTGCAGTGGCTGCTCCCGGCCACCGCAGCCTCGACCTGCTGGGCTCCGGCGATCCTTCCGCCTCAGCCTTCCAAGTAGCTGGAACTACAGGCGCACGCTACCATGCCCGGCTAATTTTTTGATTTATTGTACAGATGAGGTCTCGCTGCCCAGGCGGGTCTTGAACCCATGGGCTCAGGCAATCCAATCACCTCAACCTCCCAAAGGCACAGGATTACAGGCTGAGCCACCGAGCCCGGCCAGTGCTTTTTTTGAGTACACATTATGTTTTTGTCTTGTGAGTCTGTATTTTGGCCAACTTACTTGTATGCTCTTTTTGTGTAGTTTCCTTCTCCACACAGGGTATCAGTTATTAATGCAAGTCATTAGTGCTAGAGGAAACTTCATTTTTTTCTTTAAAAAAAATTCTGCTTGAGTACTTTTTGCCTTATTCAAATAGTCTTAAAAGTTTTATCACACATGTTCAACCTACAGGATGCTAATGATATATGGTTTATGGCATATGATATGTGCAGGAGTGGCTCCACCCCCCATTTAAGATAAAAGATAACTTCAGCCAAGCTTTCTTGAATAGATGGGTAGTTAAGCCTAGCTTACGTTTTTTTGTTTGTTTATTTTTGAGTTGAAGTCTCACTCTGTTGCCCAGGCTGGAGTGCAGTGGCACAGTCATAGCCACATAGCCTTGACCTGCTGGGCTCAGGTGATTCTTCTGTCTCAACCTTCCAAGTAGCTGGAACCACAGGCATGCACCACCACGCCTGGCTAATTTTTGATTATTGTAGAGTTGCCGAGTCTGGTTGTGAACCTGTGGGCTCAGGTAATATTCTCACCTTGGCCTCCCAGAGTGCTGGGATTATAGGCATGGGCCACCATGCCCAGCCTTTTTTTTTTCTCTTTAAAGAGTTGTCTCACACTGTCTCCCAGGCTGGAGTGCAGTGGCATAATTGTGCCTCAGTGCAGCCTTGACCTCTTGGGCTCAGATGATCCTCATGCTCCCGCATTGAGACTATAGGCATGTAGCACCACACCCAGCTATTTAAAAAAATTTTCTGTAGAGTCTAGGTCTCACTAAGTTGCCCAGGTTGGTCTCAAACTCCTGAGCTCAAACAAGCAGTCCTCCTGCCTTGGCCTCCTTCCAGCTTGCTGGGATTACAGGAATGAACCATACCATGCCTGGTCCTCCTTTCTAGAAGTTAATCTTTCTATCCTTTTCATACATTTAGAAACTATTAAAGGCAAATGTATTTTCATTAATAACTGGCTGAAGCCAAATGGGATTTAACTTTTCTGAAAGTAGATTCTGTAGATTAAGTAAAAATTGTAAATTGATTTTACAGATACTCTCTACGTGATAATTTATTGACAGTGTTCAAAATCTAAAGCTACCAAAACTATAAGCCAGAGAATACAAATAAAAATATGACTAAATACACAACTTTATTTATTTATTTTGAATTGGAGTCTCACTCTGTCACCCAGGCTGGATTGTGGTGGCATGCTTATGGCTACTGCAGCCTTGACCTGCTGGGCTCAGGCGGTCCTTCCACTTCAACCTTCCGAGTAGCTGGAACTACAGTCACGTGCCACCATGCCCAGCTTATTTTTTGATTTATTGTAGAGATGAAGTCTCACCAAGTTGCCCAGGCTGGTCTGGAACCCATGGGCTCAAGTAGTCCTCACTTCAGCCTCCCAAAGTGCTGGGATTATAGGCATGAGCTACCATGCCTGGCCTATACAACTTTATGTGAGACTTTGAAAGAATATTTTCTTTCTGTGTGACATCAGACTCAAATATAGGCCAAGCATTTATAAAATTATTGTACATACATATGGATTTCTTGATTCCCTTCTGTATGCCTATGTATACTTACTTTTTTATTAGTATTAGATATATATTTTTTGAGTTGGAGTCTCACTCTGTCGCCCAGACTGGAGTGCAGTGGCCACTCCCGGCCACTACAGCCTCGACCTGCTGGGCTCCGGCGATCCTTCCGCCTCAGCCTTCCAAGTAGCCGGAATTACAGGCATGCGCTACCACGCCCAGCTGATTTTTTGGATTTATTGTAGAGATGAGGTCTCGCTGTCCAGGCAGGTCTTGAACCCGCGGGCTCAGGCAATCCACTCACCTCAGCCTCCCAAAGGCGTGGGATTATAGGCTGAGCCACCAAACCCGGCTCTATTATTATTTTTTAAGAGACAAAGTCTTGCTTTGTCATCCAGGGTGGAGTTCAGTGGCGCAAATCATAGCTCATCATAGCCTTAACCTCCTGGGCTCAAGTGATTTTTCCAGCCTCAGTCTTTCAAGTAGCTAGATCTAGAAGCAGGTGCCATTGTGCCTAATTTTTAAAATTTCTTGTGGAGACAGGGTTTTGCTATGTTGCTCAGGCTAGGTTTGAACTCCTGGCCTCAAGCAATCCTCCCACTTCAGCCTCTCAAAGTGCTAGGATTACAGACATGAGCCACTGTGCCTGACTGTAAGTGAAATTTTTGAAATTAAAAATAATACGCTGGGCTCGGTGGCTCAGCCTGTAATCCCAGCACTTTGGGAGGCCGAGATGAGTGGATTGCCTGAGCCCGTGGGTTCGAGACCTGCTCTGGCCACTTGGCTAGCCCTTGTCTCTACAATAAATAAAAAATGAGCCAGGCATGATAGTGTGTGCCTGTAATTCTGGCTACTTGAATGGCTGAGGTGGAAGGATCACCGGAGCACAGCAGGCCGAGGCCGCGGTGGCTGGGAGTGTGCCACTACACTCCAGTCCAGGCGACAGAGGGAGACTCCAACTCCAAAAAAAAAGAAATTAAAAATAGCAAGTGAGGCACAGAGAGATTAAGTCGTATTCCAAAAGCTGGCATTGTACCCAAGCTGTTTTGACTTACCCCATGCTTTAACTCTAGTATCTCTAATACACAAAATCTCACACAAACTAGGAAAAAATAACCTAGTACAAAAATGGACAAGAGATACAAGTAAGCAGTTCATGGAAGAAGAAACACAAGTGATGCTAATAAGTATATTGAAAGATGCTTCATACTATTAGTGATTGTGAAGACATATATTTTATTTTATTTTTTGAGTTGGAATCTCACTCTTATTGCCCAGGCTGGAGTGCAGCAGCACGCTCACGGCCACTGCAGCCTCCACCTGCTGGACTTAGACGATCCTTTCGCCTCAGCCTTCCAAGTAGCTGAAACTACAGACGCATGCTACCATACCTGGCTAGTTTTTGTGATTTGTTGTAGAGATGAGGTCTCACCAAGTTGCCCAAGCTGGTCTCGAACCCACGGGCTCAGGCAATTCTCTCGCCTCAGCTTCCCAAAGTGCTGGGATTACAGGCTGAGCCACCGGGCCCGACTGTAAACATAAATTTTAAAAATAAGATATTTATTAGATGGGAAAACAAATATAAAGGCTTCATCTAGGGTGGGCAAAGATATGAGAGCATAAATTAGTGTAACTTTATTGGAAATGAATTTGGCAATATTTGTTACATGTTAAGTGTGTATACCTTTGCCTTGCATTTGGATTCATATATATATATATATATCACTACTGCATTGTTTATAGTAGTGACATTGAAATGAAGTCCCTCTTTCATTAAGGTAAATGGCAAATAGGCCGGGCTCAGTGGCTCAGCCTGTAATAATTCCAGCACTTTGGGAGGCTGAGGCGAGTGGATTGCCTGAGCCCAAGGGTGGCTGTGAGCGCACATTGTGCCACTGCATTCCAGCCTGGACCTTCGAAGGAGTGAGACTCCAACTCAAAAAACAAACAAACAAGCAAAGATAAATGG